TATATAAAATAAAGAGTTAACTAAGTACTTAGAAAAATTTAACAGCAGATTCGAGTTTTCTCATTCAATATTTTGCTCATTAGAGTTTACCATGTCAAATCCTGAGTATATCTTGTGTAGAATCGAATATGCGATACAACGATATCATTTTGGAAAAATTTCAAGAACACACTTTTTCCGATATTAGTTTTTTCAACAAACTCTCGTAAGTTTGCAACATGCTCACCTAAGTCTTTGTATGAAATCTAAAATTCATTGGAATAATGTAAGGTGTGAAGTGGGTGTGAATTTTGTCCTTCTCTTTATCCGCAGTCACAGCGGTAGTCATATTGAAAATCACATTTACACCCTCATTCATTTTAATCATCACTTATAAAACACTATTAGTGATTTACTTCTACGATGCTTCATCACCTTTCAAAAAAATGAAAAAATCATTATGCGTTTAACTGGTTGATCTTTAACTTATCTGGTAGACGTCTAATTATTGGATTGTGGTCTGTGGGAGAAAGAAAAAGTTATCGACAAAATGAGAAAAAAATTTCTGTCAACGAAACTGGATGATACTATTTTAGACTGTGCTTTGTTATTGCAGCTTGGATATTGTCCATTAAACGATGAAACAATTCGAAAACTACAAAGTGAAATTAATTGTGAATGACGACATGATATGTACTCTATTAAAATGCATATTTAACAAGATCTACTAACAATATAAAAAGTATTGATCGATATTATTTAAAGTTCAAATTTTATTCTCACGATAAAATAATTGTAATTATTTAGTGATTATGTGATATAGTGACAATGTGATCACAACATGCTCATATATATAGTGTACTAGCATATCAATTTTGGAAGTTTTCAAGTTTTCTTTCTTTGTCTCATTTAGGGATTTCCCATGCAAGTGTATCCTTCTCAACTGGTGGTCAAGCATAATGAGAGAAAGTTATGCATGACCATATGTTGCTTCTTTGTTACATTAGAGATTTGCATCATTATTTTGTATATCGACAGAGAAGAAGGGAAGAGAGATAAAGGAGCACGGCAAAGTCTAAGTCATAGTTTATTTTCTTTTTTTTCTTCTTATGTTCAGTTAAGAATGTTTCTAGAAAATTTGTCGGCATTAAAATGTCCTTCATATGACAGTTAAGGATGGAATCAGCCACAGCAGAGCTAGTTTTTTATGAACATCTGTTAATATAATCATGCTGTTCTATATACATTTAGATTAACTTATTCTAGCCTTAGTTGACCATCTGTGGTTTCGGCAAGCGCATTACAACATGTTTCTCAATATTGAAGTAACTATCCTCTAGGGATATTTCGTTCATGGCAAATGAGAAAAATGAAACAGTCTATTGAAAACTTTGTTAGATACGTTTTAGAGAGGTATAATAAAACTGTACGAGATCATTACGTTGTGTTTCTGTCAGTACGGTGAAAAATGTCGAATATCCATGTAAAAATTGAAAGAACATGACATGAAAAGAGGACACGTTTTAATTTGGTTGAAGTATGGCCGTTGATTCTATACGCATTAACCATGTTAACTCTTTGTCTAATTTTCTTCACTGGTTTTTTGATCATTTTACTCTATCCCAGGTATTTGAAAGATTCCGTCCAATGGATTTGTTCCATACCGCCACAAGTTTCGATTTAAGAGCTTCCTACAGCTCTGTCGGACCACATAGCCTCGGTTTTTTTTATATGTAATAGGCTGAAGATTTAAAATCAAGTAAAATTCTAATTTTTCAAGAAATTTTTTTAAACTTTTCTCTAGATCAAGACATTGCTAACTATACTTGGTACCGATCTTTCTCGCTAAAACCGCTGCAAGGTCGTCTGCAAAAAAGAATAGAATGAAGTAATTCAAAAAATTATCCATATTCGAGTGGTACGTTAAGAATAATGTAGACTTAAAAATAGAACCTTGTACTCCTCTACTATTGCTTGAAATCCATGTCGAGCATTTTCCTTGGATTTCAATATAAGCTCTTCTTCTCATTAGTCATGACTTTATCCGTTCCAAGTAGGATTTAGAAATCTTCATCATACGGAGTTTACATAGACATCCATCAAAACATAGTTCGTCGAAATCACAGAAGAACTCCAGTTTGGAGTCGAAATTCACATTGAGTATCTGTTGGAATGCCTCTTCTTCTTCTTCTTCAAACTTGTCGAAATATGTTTGAGAAGTCTTTCATTTAACTTAAGGATTGCATATAACAAGCAGATAGGACATGTCTATGAGGGAGAATAGATTGTATCCTGTTTTGCCAAAATGCTTATTCAAATATCTTTTCGTGTTTTAGGAAAAATAGATGAAGAAAAGAATAGATTAAAGATTTGTAATCAGAAACTTCAGTACTTAGCAGGAATCTATTGAAACATATAACTACAAAGATTGGTTCTTCAACTATTTCTAAATCAGAAAAGGATACATTCACATATGGGTGAGGTCTTATAACTTCCTTAACTTCTACAAATAGTTCTTCATAGTGAATGACAGTAATTTCGCATATTTTATCTACTTCTCTAACTATCTCTACATTTGATGATATAAAATATTATAGTGATGAGGAGCTCGATCTAAAGAATCTTTTTGTTTTAAACCAAAAGGATACCGAGGTGAGTGAGAAGGTATGACGCATTGTAAGCCTAGGCGACAATTGCGTGTCGGTAACGGATTTTAGTTCTTTTTGGAGGAGTTTCTTTTAGAGATTTTACTTCAGCTTTTAGTTTTAAATCGCCCGTGCGCTTTTCGCGAAATAGGAAAGTTCGAACAAACGATAAGCGAGCGCACAGCTCTTTCGGGATTATTATTCGATATTTTTCTAAGGGATAATGTGTGATACAACAAGATGGAAGTAGTGACAATAACGTTGTATATTCGATATAGGTTAGACTTAGATTGTCAAGATTCCAATGCTTTTCGCAGTAAGGAAAAACTACCAAAAGAAAAAAAAGAAAGAACCTTCCAATACAAGTTTTTACCATGGGTTACAGCAGAAGACTTGGTTGGGATAACTGCAATAGTGAGCTTATGGTCATTCGTTGTATCTTCTTCGTATGTTTGCAATTAGGTACGAATTTTTGATGAAACTACATAGTCTACTATTCTTTTAGATCGCAAGGATGCGAGTGTACCAGATTTGACCGATACAACGAAACGAAAGATATACATAGGGTAGTCAAAAAGTTCTAGTAATAGTCTTCTAAAATTTCATCCTAATTGATTTTATTCTTCATGTTGGTCTATTCTAGTAGTAACGTCTGTTATCGATTAAAATACCAATACGAAGTTTCACAAGTGTCTATTATAGTAATTCTTTAATGAATTTTTTCAACACTCCTGTTTTCAGATGGATAAACTTTGTATACGCTCATATATAAAAACTCGTTGGTTATTAGGTTTAACTGCTGCACAAGTTCATGATGAATTAATTGTAGGCTATAGACCAGGTGCTGTTTCATATAGTACAGTTACTCATCGGGTTTATCGATTTTCAAGTAGACGAGAGCCGTTGAAAGATGATCCTTGAAATAGTAGCCGTTATCCGTCAATACTTAACAAAATGTTAATGCTGTCCAGGACCTGGAGAATGATGATCCACATCTTAGTGTTGATTATGTTGCTACCTCTTAGACATAGTCTATTACATGTATTAGCGTGATAAATGTTAAAACAGATTAGTCAAAAATTTACACAAAAAAAGATTATCATAAAAAAACATGGCATTAAATTTGCATCTTCACAATGCAAAATCACGTATAAAAAATATTAATCTTAATCTTAAATAAGTTCAAGAAGAAAAATCCAAAGTTATAGTTCATCCTTCATATCTGCCTGGTCCTAGTTCATCAGACTTTTGGTTATCTAGTTTTTTGAAATCTAGTCTTGACACATATTCAAATGCTACAAGTTTTATCCAAGGAGCTACATTCGAAAACTGTTCATTAATACGAAAAGACATCTCAGAAGTTGATTGAAGGGATGAAACTTTGTACCGAACATTATGGGGACTACTTCAAACATTTACTGTAAAAGGATAAACAAAATGTTTTTTCTATGAATAAATATTTGAATGTCCGAGAACTTTTTGACTGACCTATGTAGTCAATAAATTGTTTTTAGTGAACACTAGTTGAAAAAATTGAATATAAAATAAACGCTGATATCATTTAAAACTAGATAAAAGTGTTTATTTTTACTTATTACTGCACAGTTTTTTTCCCACTACCGGGTGAATCAACAGGGATATTGCTTTGCATACTCGAAAAAAGCGTGGTAAATGAGTCATTGTAAATATTCGATAAAAAAAGCACACGAAGAAAAAGAAAAAGCACGAGAACCAATCCTTCATCCATTACTATGTCACATAAGCAATACATGCAAAGATTCTCTGGTTTTTTTTCTTATATATTCAAATATTCTGGAAAACTTGGTAAAAAC